GAAGAGAAACTCAGGCTAGGGGATTGGTGTCGGGGGGGCATGCAGGATTCAGGGATAGAAGGTGAGAAAGAGCTCAGGGCACAGGATTGGGGGGTGAGGTGCAGAGGTCAAGGTTGGGGGTGAGGAAAGGTTCAAGGTTCAAGAGGTATAAGGGGTGCAGAAGTCAGGGTTGGGGGGATGAGTAGGGGTTTAGGGCAGGGTGCATGGGAATGCCAGAGTAAGGGTTGGAGGGCAAAGAAAGGCTCAGGGCATGTGGATGATGTGTATGTGTGTGTGGACTTTGTATGCAGAGTGGGCTTGTTGTGACTTTCAAGCACACAAACAATAATATTTCTGTAGTTGTTGAAAGCACTAAAATAAAGACAAATGCAGAGGGAGGTTGAATCACTGCAAACAAACATTTTCCCCTCCCCCAATCTCTGAGCCATTCCACAGTTTGGCTCATGTGTGCAGCTCTCTGCATTGGAATCCAGAGGCTGCATTGGAAGCACGGAGCATCTGAGAAGGTTACCCCATCACAGAAAGGAACGCAACCAGGGAGCATCTACATTAGGGCTGCGTCTAGACTGGCGCTCTCTTGTGCAAATACTTTTAAAGCAAGAGTTCTTGCTTTAAAGTATTTGAGCAAGAGAGCAGCTACACTGGCCAATGTAGACACAGCCGGGGTGTGTTGGGTGCAGGAGTCAGAGTTGGGGGGTGAGAAAGGGCTCAGAGCAGGCGGGTGGAGGATGTAGGAGTCAGGGTTGGGAGTGAGAAGCTTAGGGCAAGTGAGTAAGTGTGTGTATAGGAGGTAGGAGGGAGGTAAAGCCCCCTCCCCCTGAGATTTGTGCTAAGGTTGTTTGCTCTTCCCCTTCCTGTCCCTGTCAGGGAGCAAGAACAAAGTGCACAGCCCAACCAGAGTGAAGAATGCAGCAAACTGTGCACTTTCCCCTTGCTCCCTGACAAAGGGGAACAGCCAGCGGGACTCCCTGTACCAACTTGAGGAGAAACAGCTTCAGTCTCCCCACCCTCATTAAAGGGTGTCTGGAGGGTAGGAGGCTTGGGGTTGTGGCAATGCTGGTCAGCAGGGGAAGGGGGAGACAGGAGGATGATTCTGCCTGCCTAGTGATTCTGTTTCCTTTCTATATGATTTTATGAGAAGCAATGCCATTCCAGGCACATCCCATTTTTCTGGCACAACCAAACCCTTATGTTGCTTTAAGTTATGATTAGAAGAAGCTGTACACTGAATTTGGTGGTCCTACCTTTTACCATTTAGGAATAATCCTTGAACAGAGAAACAGATAGACAAAGAGACAAATATATAATGCATCTCAAATATATAGGAGATATAAACTAGGGCTGTCAAGCAATTAAAAAAAATTTAATCACACAATTCAACATGTAAACTGCCCCTTTGAAATGCTGTGGCAGCGTTTCAAAGGGGCAACACTGTAGAAGCCTGGGATCAGCTGATCCCCAGCTCCTAATGCACTGCCCCTTTGAAGCTCCAGACTGGCACTTCAAAAGGGCAGTGTAACACGGAGCTGGGCACTCCAGCTGATCCCTGGCTCCACATTACACTGCCCCTTTGAAGCGTTGGACCGGCACTTAAAAGGGGAAGTTCTGCATGGAGCCCAGGGTCAGCTGGGGAGTCTAGTTGATCCCAGCTTTCTAATGCGCTGCCCCATTGAAGCACCGGAGCGGTGCTTCAAAGGGGCAGTGCAGCGTAAACGCTTGCTATTAACATGTTTATAAAATTGTGTTAATCTTTCCCTGTGTTAATCACAGGCATTAACATCAATTGACATATAAACATTTGAAAGCAATTAAATTTAGATATAACCATTTAAGGGACAGGCCATGACCTCATGACACAGTTAAATCTGTTTCAGCAACCTTGTAGGCTTCTCCCAGTTGCACATGATGCTGTTCACATGCCTGGTCAATAGTATAAGGTTTGTGTGTGAAGAAAGAGCTGGGCAGAACCTACACACCAAAAATAACATGGCCATATTTGATACCAAGTTATAGGTCACCTCATTCCACTGCTATATTGCCTTCACCAGGGGCCTATATGAGCAGTATGGCACACAGGTAACCCAAAGAACTTCCGCGCTGAGCCATACATTGTATTCCAAGGTGCCCAGGATAACCTGTTCCAGTTGTTCATCCATCACAGGTTATGTCGTGTGTGTGTGTGTGTGTGTGTGTGTCAAGGGGGGGAGGTATTTTCATGACTATGCCCCTCGGCCTCTAATTGCATGTTTCACCCAATTCTGTTTGCCCAGTTCACTTTAGTATTGAGTGTACAACTATCCTATTCTTTCTGGGAACACAGTATACAGATAAGCCTCCTTCCAACATGTAAAAATGCAGCTACTCTCTTATGTGCTTTATTGCACTTCTGTAAGTAAGGTCACGTTTTGCCTTAATTCCTTTTTCTTTAAAAAAAAATCTCTATTACAATTAAGATTTCAAAATATTTATAAATGTGAAATACCTTGTTTAGCTCTTTTTGCTGACTTTCCCGGTGTTGTTCCAACTTTAATAGTTCAGCATTTTTATTTTCGAGTTCCTCAACACATTGTGCATATGCTGATTGAAGCCTTTAAGTAAAAAATTATTAATAATAATAATAATTTCTGAGGATCAAATTGTTCCCTGCATGAGTAAAAAACAAACATGAATTGGGCAGAGAATGCCGTGAGCCACAGTTTATAGAATTTTCACCTCACCATTCAGTCAGGGAATTTTGCCTCACCATTCCACTTAGGAAGGAACAATCAGCTTCACACATACAGAATGGGAAACGACTGTCTAGGATTATAGTGGACCACAAGCTGAATATGAGTCAGCAGTGTGATGCTGTTGCAAAAAAAGCAAACATGATTCTGGGATGCATTAACAGGTGTGTTGTGAGCAAGACATGAGAAGTCATTCTTCCACTGGTTAGGCCTCAGTTGGAGTATTGTGTCCAGTACTGGGCACCGCATTTCAAGAAAGATGTGGAGAAATGGGCGAGGGTCCAGAGAAGAGCAACAAGAATGATTAAAGGTCTAGAGAACATGACCTATGAAAGAAGGCTGAAAGAATTGAGTTTGTTTAGTTTAGAAAAGAGAAGATTGAGAGGGGACATGATAGCAGTTTTCAGGTATCTAAAGGGTGTCATAAGGAGGAGGGAGAAAACTTGTTCATCTTGGCCTCTGAGGATAGAACAAGAAGCAATGGGCTTACACTGCAGCAAGGGAGGTTTAGGTTGGACATTAGGAAAAAGTTCCTAACTGTCAGGGTGGTGAAACACTGGAATAAGTTGCCTAGGGAGGTTCATCTCTGGAGATATTTAAGAGTAGGTTAGATAATATCAGGGATGGTCTAGACAGTATTTGGTCCTGCCATGAGCGCAGGGGACTGGACTTGATGACCTCTCGAGGTCCCTTCCAGTCCTAGTATTCTATGATTCTATGATTCATTCTTATGGAAAAGGTAGGAGCTTTGGTAACCTAAACCAAGGTGGAATTTGATTGATCTATGGATCATCTGTCTACTTTAAGAATCCTGAGATCACTTGTGAAACCTTATGCCATATAACATCACATGGCTACAGCAAAACACATTTTACCAACGTAACTGTAAAAATTATACAACTTGTTGTCATGGGGTGTAGTGGTGTTAGAGCGGAGGTGTGCCATGGAGAACAGAGTTCAAAATGGCTGCCCTTAAAGGGGCAGGCGACTTTTTTTTTTCCTCAATAACTTTCCCCCCCGACCCTTTTTGGTTTTGGTCATTAACTTTTCCCCACTCCCTCCCCCTTTTTTTTTGCTTAACAAAAAATCCCTGGTGTTCCTCAAAAAAAATTTATTGTTTGGTGTTCCTTGGTTTAAAAAGTTTAAGAAACACTGTGTTAGAGGCTTGTTTTTTAACCAGTGTATTTTTAAAATGTGTTAGAATACCTAGACCAAAGGAAAGGCATTCTTTTTATCAAATAAGCACGTAAAGTCAAATAAAATAAAATATTTTAAAAGAATTGGGCTTCATGAAAACTGTTTCATAGAATGTGTATCTAATGATTATAATCTTATAATATAAAATTACTAAAATATTAATTCAAACATGAATTTGATTTTTCTAAACTATATTATCTATTAAAAACAAACAATATAAAACAAAAGAAAGAGAAAAGTTATTCAGCTTGCAATTTTTTTACAATGTAAATGATGTCTTTCAAATACATACTTCATTTGATTTTCTTGGATGCTTTTACATTCTCCAATTTTCAAGAATTCTTTACGCAGCTGCTGGAATTCAACTTCCATCCCTCTCCAGAGGGCATTATGTGACTGCAGTTCATTTTTCATCCCTGAAAGTTCTGCCTCCATGCTCTAAATAAATAAATTAATTAATTAAATAAAATGACTCAATAGTGGCTTAAATTCCATGGTTTTGTAGCATATATATTGTCATATCCTTTATTTTACATATTTAATATGAATTTAAGAGGCAATTTGTATTTTAAAAAATGCTTTTATTCTGAGGCCAGTTGCTACTTTGGAAAAGGTATTGCTTTTGTAAGGTTTTCTACAGTTAGTCTCTCCCTGTCTCTAGAAATGTTACTCAACTATAAGAGTACATCTATACTGCTACACTATTTCAGGATACCGGAGTATCCTGAAATAGCTAACACGCGTCTTCACAGCAAGCCCATTAAATCAGGCTCGCTATTCCGATGTCCCTGTTTCTATGAGGAGTAAGGGACATTTTGGAATAGTGCTTTATTTAAAAAAATTGACATTGTGTGGACACCGCCAAATGACAAAATAAGCTATTTCAAACTAGGGGGGGCAAAATCAAATCAGTATCTTAGATGCCTATATACACATGCAAGAAGTATGGGGAATAAGCAAGAAGAACTTTAAGTGCTAGTAAATAAACACAACTATGACATAATTGGTATCAGAGACTTGGTGTGATAATACACACAATGGGTATGTCTAGACTATATGCCTCTGCCGACAGAGGCATGTAAACTAGGCTACCCGACATAGTCAAAGAAGCCAGGATTTAAATATCCCCAGCTTCATTAAAATAAATATGGCTGCCGCGCTCTACTGGCTCATCTGATCATCGGCACAGCGTGCGAGTCAAGACGCGGATTGGTCGACAGGGAAGCCTTTGTTGACCGCTCCTGTAAACCTTGTTTCATAAGGCATAAGGGAGTGGTTGACAAAGGCGTCCCCTGTTGACCGATCCGCGTCTTGACTCATGTGCTATGCCGATGATCAGCTGAACCGGCACAGCATGGCGGCCATGTTTATTTTAATGAAGCTGGGGATATTTAAATCCCGGCTTCTCTGACTATGTTGGGTAGCCTAGTTTACATGCCTCTGTCGGCAGAGGCATGTAGTCTAGACATACCCAACTGAAATACTGAATGTATAGAACAGTGTTTCTTAAACTATATTCTGTGGAACACTGGTGTACTGTGAACAACTTGCAGGTGTGCCGCGACCTCTTCTTTGTTTTTGTTACTTCTTTGTTTTTGTCTTTTTTTGTCTGACGACAATTTTTGTTTTTGTTAAGAAAATTTTCATAGGTGTTCCACATCAAAAAATATTATTGTTTGGTGTACTGTGGTCTCAAAAACTTTAAGAAACACTGGTATAGAAGGTGTGCCTATTGGAGTCCAGGAGGTGGGCAGGCATTAGCCTGTCCACACCTAAAGGAGCTCCCCCCAGCCTATGGGGAGGGTCCACTGAGCCCAGAAAACCAAGTAATTACTTAGGACAAATAAAGATAAAACAGGGACGGGTGTGAGGGTCAAAGGGCTAAAACTAGGGAACCGGATGGGGACACCGAGCAGAGAACCCCGGACAGCATCCATTGCTCCTTGAAGGTCTTGAGAGAGAGCCAGTGGATGCTGCCAAGTGGAACTCTGCCCGGATGCATGAGCGGATGCAAGAACGGAAATAGGCCCCACTGTCGCAGGCCCCTCCCTCGGCCAATCTCTGCTCCCTGATCTTATAAATAGCTTGGCGATAGCTAGGAGGAGGTTGATCAGGAGGTCCGCAAATTTGTGGGGCCACGGATGGGGTGTGCATAGATTAGTAGGTGAGGGGAGAAGTGCAGCCAGAGCCTCCACAAGAGGTTTTGGAGGAGCTGAAAGCGGGGCTGTAACCTGGTGCACTTGTAGATGTGCACCAGGGTCTCCCTCTCGTCACTGAAAGGACAAGTGTCAGGAGAGGGGGTGAACTGCACCAAGTACATGCTCGTGCTCACAGCTCTGTGCAGGATTCTCCAGCTAATGTCCCTGGTGGGCCGTGGAATCAAGGTGGAATAGAGACTGGCCCACCGGGGCTCCTCACCCTCTACTGGTGGTAGGTGGTCCCGCCGCTTGGTATCTGGGTGTGACACAAGGGTGGGGAAATGGAATGTGTGAAGCATGAGCATGTACAGATGGCTCTTTGGCATGGTTCAGAAGGGGCGCAGCTACCATGTATGCAGCGAGCTCGGGAGACAAGGGAGAGGTGGTCGGAAAGGTATGTGGACCTTGGGGCTGTTGGATAGATCAGGCATGCCAGGGGTGAAGGGTGGGCAGGGTGCACCCTCTCACAGGACCTTGTCAAGATAAACTTGAGCAGTAGGCAGCAAAGCGTCCTTCACCTCCTGAAGTATGTGCCGCAGAGTACATAAGGTGGAGAGTCCCATGCACTGGGCGAGAGCCCGAGGATCCGCCCAGTCTCCCCAGTCATAGTCCAGGAGGTCTCTGATCCTTGTGACTTCTACCAGGACCAGTCTTTGGCACACTGAGGGGGACTCTGCCACCTGCACACATAGATGGGGATTGTGTAGCAGGGGCTCTGTGAGGAGGTCTACCCCCACGGTGGCTCCTAAGGACCCGGTCACTGCAAGTAGCTTCCAGGCCCAGAGGAGGTCCCGGTAGAAGGCCAGCAGCTCGAAGAGGTCTTGCGGAAGACCTCTCGAAGGAGCTGCCGATCATATCGGAACCCTCAGAAGCAGTGAAGGAAAGTGTGCGCCAGCGTGCTCGACACCAGACTACCTGAATCATATAGGAGCCTCTGCAGGGCCTGGAGGCGGAGGACATGGACCTGTGTGCACAAACACGTCAGACCCTGCCCTCCCTCCTCCAGGGGAAGATGGAGAACCCCTGCAGAGACCAAATGAAGTCCTGGCTAGAAGAGCCACAGCATCAGCTGCTGGATCTGATCCAGAAAACCCAGGATTGGGACCAGGGTGCTGAGACGGTGCCAGAGCATGGACAGGACCAGTTGGTTAAACACCAGTGCCCTCCCACGCAGGGAAAGGCACTGGAGCAGTCACGTACATCTCCACAACCGCTCAGCCACCCTGGACTCTAAACCTTGCCAGTTTTCCAGTGGAGAGGTATGCGTGGCAGAGAGAAAAATGCCAAGATAGAGCAGCGGACCCGCGCTCCACCTAATGGCCTGAAGCACGGTTGGGAAGGAGCTCGCCTACCACCCGGCCCTACCACCAGGCCAGAGCTTTTTACCCAGTTGACCTGGGTTGAGGAGGCCACCAAGTAGATTGTTTGGCAGGCCTCCACCTGCACCAGGTCATCCGGGTCCTGGACCATGAGAAGCATGTCATCGGCGTACGCTGATGGGACCAGCTGCAACTCCGGCTCACAGAGCACTAACACCGTCAACCTCTTGAGAGGGAGATGGAGGAAGGGCTCAATGGCCAGAGTATACAACTGGCCCGACAGCAGGCAGCCTTGACGTACTTCCCGCCCGAAACTGACAGGTGCAGTCAGGGTCCAGCTGAGCTTGACCAAACACTCTGCAGAAGCGTACAGCACCTGGAAAAACCCCACAAAGCGGGGCCCAAAGCCGAAGGCCTGCAGAGTGCCCAGGAGGTACCTGGTGTGAATAACACACCAACCCTATCCCCTAGCTCTAGGAGATCCCAGACCAAATAAAGGTTGTTGAAGATGGTATGGCCCGGGACAGTGTAGGTCTGGTCTGGATGGACCACATCCGTCAGCACAGACTTCAGTCTCAGGGAGATAGCTTTGGCGATGATTTTATAGTCCATGCTGAAGAGCGAGATGGGATGCCAATTCCTCAGATCACGGAGGTCTTCCTTCTTGGGCAGCAAGGTGAGCACAGTTCGCCTGCACAATAAAGGGAGGACCCCGCTCTCCAAGGACTCAGCCCAGACACTGGCAAGGTCTGGGCTGAGGACATCCCAGAACACATGGTAGAACTCCACGGTCAGCCCGTCCATGTCCGGGGACTTGTTGGTGGGCATGATATGGAGGGGTTCCAAGAACTTGGCCAGAGAGAGAGGCAGCTCTAGCCGGTTCCAGTCGCCCATGCTGACCGTCCATTCCAGAGAACTCTGCGGGCATCGGTCAGATCCAGCAAGAAAAGGGAGGCATAGAAGGCACAAGCCCTCTCGCGCATCTCCACCAGATCCGTGAGGGGGGTGCCATCCTCTGCCAGAAAGCAGTCAATGTGCTTTTTAGCTCCCTTCTTTTTTTCCAGGATGTAGAAGACGCGGGAGCCATGATCCATCTCCCTGAGGAGGTGGATGCGAGAACAAACAAAGGTACCCCGGGCCCGAAGGTTGTTGAGGGCCCAGAGTTCCTCCCACTTCTCCCGGTATGTTCTGTAGAGGGGTGGATCTCTGGGGTCAGTGGCCAGCTGCCTCTCTAGCTCTAAAACCTCCTGTTCCAGCTGCTCTATCACTGCATCCCTCCGCCGGCTGGCCACCCGGGTGTAGTCGCGGCAGAAGAGCCACATGCGCATCTTCCCCACATCCCACCACCGCTGCGCCAAGGGAAAGGCACACTGCCACCCGCGCCAGGCCAGCCAGAACTCCTGGAAGGATGCTACAGAGCCCACTTTCTCCATCAAACTATTGTTGAAATGCCAGGAGGTCAGCCCTGGCCTCTCCAAGGAGAGAGAGGCTGTCACAGCCACCAAGTGGTGATCTGAGAACAGGGCCGGACAAATGTTGGAGGAGTGGGCTCAAAAGAGATGATGACATGAGAGAGAAATGCAGTTCAACCAGGAGTGAAATGACGGTTTACCCTCCACCTGGACAAAGGTAAGCACTGCGTCCTCGCCCGGGGGGAGGTCACACCAGACTCCACCAGGGAGTGTTGGTCTATTATCTCCCTGAGGACGTCCACGGCGGCTGGGCATCACTTGGTCCCTGTGTGGTCTCATTCCTCGAGGGTGCAGTTGAAATCCCTGCCCAGGACCAGGCATTCGTGACGATCCAAAGGGCCAAGGAAGGCAGACGCCTGCTGGTAGAAGTGAAGCCTCTCTGGGCCGGACATCGAGGCATAGATGTTAATAAGATTTAATGTCAGCTCCTCCACCCGGACCCTGAGGTG